ATATTTTCTAACAATCATCGATCCCTTGCTTACTTTTAGCTTTATTGCCTTACTTGGGGTAAAATGATTTAAAAAAAAAGGATTATTTTGTTATAAACAAAGAAAAGAGTGCCACATAATATCAATCCTCATATATGGCAGTGAATGCTAAACAATTTCCTTCTCGATTAGAAGAGTTCTTCTACAGAAGAATGCTTAGAATAACATGGAATAATAGCAGAAATAATAACTTACCAGTTCAGCAGCAGAAGAGAACCCGATTGTGTCTTGCCTACCAGGATCGAACTGGCGTCCTTCGGAATGCAGAAAACACGGTTTAAGCGTGTGATGTGGCACATGTGGTTTGATTCAGGTGCCCGGATCTACAAAAAGCAGCGTAGGCTCTGAAGTAGATAAGTAAACAGGCCGATAGCGTAGGAGATTGAAGCGTTGGAAGCGGTGACTCACGAATATGATAATAGATTCCCTGCATCAATCCTCACTAGAGAGACGGTACCGATGTTATTGTTACCAGCCAGAACAGAAGAGCATGTGAGCGATGAGGAAATTTTAAAGAAATGGAAACAAAAGGGATAAATTTACTTCAGATCAGAAATAGTCGTTGAACATTCTGGAATATATAGTGACTTTCCGAGCATAGCTCAGATGTGGCACAAGGCCGAAAGTATGGGACACCCAGTGAGGATCGAACTCACTACTCAGTCATAATTGTTCTAGTGAGACAAGCTTGTTAACCATTACACCACCTCGAAGTGCCCAACATTATGGAACATATAATGAGGAAAGATGAATTGGGGAATTTGACGCTTAAATGACAGTAAAATTAAGAGGGACAAAGAGAAAGAGAAACGAAGACTAACAATCTTATGTAAGTGGATGGCCTTGGATTTGGAGGGATTATAAGAAGACAAGCATTGTTTCGAGCTAAAAAATAGATAGAAAGCTGTGGAGAGCCATGATTCTCCCCGCCCTGAAGTTCTCATATACAAATCTGTATTCTAGAAATTAAACAACATGCTAAAAAAACCTGCTTTGAAATTTGCTGCCACAGAGATAAGGAATGAAAAAAGAAAGTAGGAAAATAAAGTTAGGTATGGTAAGGTGGATAAAGAAAGTCCAAAATCGAGTTAAGTTAAAAATAAAGAAACAGTATATATGTAGGTATATATATGTCATGTCTTGAAGTGTTATAATGTTAGACAAAAATGACTATTTTTTTAATTTAACATTAATACGAAGACGTAGCATTTTTAACCCTATCCTTAATACAGATTATTTTGGAGTTGGGAAATGCTTTGGCGTGGGAGTTCGCTAACATTAAAATAGGTAGTATATTGACTGCAGACTTTCAGTATGACCTGTGAGTATCAAATTTTCAATGTCTTCTTTCCTCATTATGTCCTCTGGAAATTTCACCTTTTTTATTTTAAATATAAGCGACATTATTGTTCACTTTTTAACTTACACCGTTCTCGTTGCTATCATTTTGCTTCAAGTCACTTCTTCATTTTTGAGGAGATTGCCATATAGGATAAATGTTATTAATTCTAATGAAATTTTCCTGTTTCTTAATACTTAGCTTAACTTTTGAAAGGTCAATCAGTTAATGTGCCATGCGTGACACACGCTTAGGTGATCATGTATCTTTCGAGAGATTTTTTCCCGCCTTAGGTTGCCATTTCTTTCTTTCCGGTAGACCAGTAGAACCCGGTCTGTCCTGCTATTTATTTATAACTGTGGTGAGAAGAGGAGGATTCATACCTTTCTCAGGGGTATTAGCACGTAAGTGAATATAATGGATTCGACTGAAATTCGAACTCCGCTCTCTGATTCTTCAATCCGTGCCGCTATCCGTTACTCCGTTTTTGGAAAGTACCTTTCGCTATTAACATACGCCTTCAGATTTTCCGGCCTCTCTTAAAATAAGCTTTCTATATGTATAAATTATTGTACTTGTTTATTATTTTGGGCGTCTCCAATTCAAAATTTCCTTTCATTTTTTTGACAACAAACTTTAACTGTCAAAGAAATGTAGACGTTCCTGAGCAAGTGGTTGCAACAAGGATTAAATGTCAACCTAGTATGCTTTAGCGTTAAACATTCTTTTTTAAGTCAAACTAGTTTTCTTCGTGCCATCAAATAAGTTTTCATTTGTATTAAAATCAGTGAATATAGAGACATATGTTAAAGAGATTTTAAACGTTTTCCTTTATTCTGCTTCTATTCGTAACATATTTAAAAGCAGCTGAATATGTTAGACTTTCAGCTCATACTTTGATTTCTTTGTAATATCTATAGTTGCCCATCGTCCAGTCTCCATGACACTTCTAATTACGTTTCTAATGTTGCACGTTTTTTCTTTGTGTGTTGTTGTGTGTGCTTATGCACGTAGAGCGCTATTTAGCCGGTATTGCAACAGTGCTATCTCAAGGAATGAATGTTTGCAAAGCGAAAATTTTAAGTCGTATCTCCTATCATCACAGTTCAAAAGCAAGCAATAACAAAATGGTTCGCGCGCTTTCGTGCTGTATAGTTTGTTGTTGAGCGTTTATACGATTCGAGCGTTGCAAATGCCACATCATTTCAAGACGCAGTCAGTCACGGCCCTCTACATCTTCCTTCTTCTTAATATATCTTAATTGCTGCAAGTTCGTCAAAAATAACGGATACGTTTCCGTTACCTTATGCGTGGTTTTGTATTAGATCTTCAAAACTCCAGAGCGCAGATTTCCCTTCTATTTAATCCACATAGGGGGGAGGTGAAGGGACGAATTCATGTTTTTTCTAATGGTATAAGTTATAAAAAAAAAAGAAGTTTCTATAAAAATGTGGAAGTGGAACACTGGGTAAGTTGCATTTGGATTATTTTTGTCAAGCACCGTAAGATGCTGCATAAACCAAAATATTGATATAAATTCTACCATCATACTATTAAATATCCATGACAGATCCAGAGTTTCCCATGGAGGCCATGCATGGCGTTCAATTCATTCAGATATACTCGAAACTATCAAATATATATAACCGATTTCTCAGAGAATTTAATAAAAATGGCTTCAAAAGAAAAATATCCTATAGATCTTGACCATCTTTCCCTAACCCCAATAGACTGGTGCTACAGAATCACAAGCAAAGACCACATCACATTCAAGAACAGCAGCAACAAAAATGGCGTCGCACATGTAACTATTTGTTTGTCTCATAAATAATTTATGTTTATGGGAATCAACGTAACGACGAGTATATCATCCACGTCAATTGTTCTCAGCCTATTTTGCCCGGTGCACCCTTTTCACGATAAATCAGTATGTCATCCTCCCACTTTCCAAGTATGTCCGACTGAAAAGGGGTATTCCAGATAATGAGCGTATATCATTGAAAATCTTCGTTTCCCTATTAGAACGTAAACATTTATGTTATTTTTTCTAGTGGCTAAAAACACAAGAGTTAGCAGAAAGAAAACCCAGCGTGATCTCTCAGTTGCGCGGACCGATGTTGGGGAGTTCGACAATTAACATTTTGAATCTACCAATCTTTGGCCCAATTCCCCGCTAAAACCCTGAAATCTCCCCCTTGGGGGAATTCCTTACTGTTTGAGAACTCCTGTCCTATGTTCTAATCAAACGTAGCAGTTAGGGATAAATTTAAGGCATACTAATACTAATATACGTCTCATTTCTCAATGTGGGCGATTGCCTGTGAGCAGTTGCCCGTGGGCTCTGTTATGTTGAATGTGGACAATGGGAATTTTTATTTCGTTTGGTGGTTGCGGTGTACATGCTCAAGGAGTGCAGTGGGCATTTATCTTTCTTTTTTAACATTTTCAAACATTAATCAATATTGGCCTCAAAAAGAAATTTCTGAAAAGTATCTAAAGCTGTTGGAAGCTATCAAGCTTTCCTCGTTGCTTTTCCAACTCCCTATATAGTTGAATGTGGTTTCAACGCAGTTACACAGCTTCTTACTAAACAAAGAAACCGCCTGTGAGTCACAAAACGAGATCTACGATTACTTCTAAGCAACATGTAACCTTGAGTAAGGGACTTAACCAGTCAGTACCAAAGTTAACCATCGCATTTAAAACATTGAGATAAACTATCAAATACAAGTTGTTTTAGCATTTTTTATCATTGGTATTTACAAATGAAAATAATATCAAAATTATTTTTGCACTCATATCTTGCTTTGGAAGACGAATTCAGTATAATATTCGAAATTTAATTTGACGGGGTTTGAGGTCTTGACAAAACAGTCTGTGCGCAAAGTAGGGCGCTGGTTCAAAAATGGTTCGGAAACACTGCCTTTGGTTTTAAGGGCTGTGACGTCGTACACTTAAATTAAACGAAAACTGTTCCATGACAACGCATGGCCAGGTACAGCAAGAATAGCAAGGCAAAGGTTTGAGACTTGTTTAGTTCGGTCCACCCAACCTGCTCGTATTCACGTGACGTTGCATCAACCGATTATCAATTTCGTCGCAGAACACCTTCATAGCGAAAACTTTCTCAATTGAAAACTAGACTGATGAATTCGCTTTTTTAGATCAAGACCTTTGTAATTTGATTCAAAAGTTAACGAAGGAGCGGACTGTTAATTGTCAACAAATCATTACAAGTAATGTTGAATATGCAACTGAATAATGTATAATTGTACTCCAAGAATAAAGTTGATATCAAGGTAGAATTTATGACTCCATATAAGATTGTTTGTTGGTTGTTTTTGTTTAGCAACATATCAACATATGGATTATTTATTGCCGGAATCTAGATATTTTGTACGCAATTTTGATTTTATTTTTGGAGATAATAATGGTTTAGTGATACAGTTCTTACTAATTAACCCATATCTGGGGGAGAAGGGGTGGATAGCGGCGGATACATACTTTTCCCAAGGTTATTTACATGTAAGTGAATATAACGAACCCAACTAGAATTCGAACTTTTAATTTTTAACAATTCCGAGTCATTATCAATTAACCACCCGCAAATCAAAATCTTACAGATATTCCCAAGTGGTCACCCATGTAGGTACTGACCAGGATCAAGTTTGCTTAACTTCGGTAATCGTATAGAAACCGGTGTTTTAACGTGATGTGGCCGTAAGGCTCTATATACATCTAACCATTTCTACTGTAGAATGATAGCATTCTGGTACCGCACTTAAATTCATAAATATTAGGTAACAAAAAGAAGAGCGATATTTATTCTGTTTAATACAGAAATGTGGCACAAGACCGTAAGGAGATTAGGGAAAAGGGCGGTCTCCTTCTGTCTTAACTATAACTTAGCTAGCCGCAAACACTGACTCAATCGTACGAACAATATTCCTTACACCAAAGCAACACATTCATACGTATATTCTTACTACATCCACCATAATACCTCATTGTCTCTATGAAAATACTAACTAGTCCCCATATTTACAGTTCATTGTCTGGGGGTGGGGGAGAATAAAACAACAACAAAAAGGAGAGCTAATCAGAGCAATTTCCATGAAAATATTTCTACAAAAAACATGGAGAAGCTCACATTACAGTGATGGGTTGGCTGATTTTGTTTAGTGGCTTATCAACACATCTATGAGTTATTTAATGCCACAATTTAAATATTTATACGTAATTTTATGCTTTCAGCTACATATATTTTGTACATAATTTATACGTTCAGGGTACGTTTCTTTTTAGATCTATAGTTTCTAGATCATAAAATATATTGATTGTCATTTTGCTATAAAAATGTAAACTGGATATAAACTCTTCAGTGGTTGGTTGATTTTGTTTAGCGACATATTAACCTCTATGGGTTATTCAATGCCGAAATCTATTTTTTTTAAGCAATTCGCCCCAAGCAAGGCGGGAGTGCCACTAGCACGCAATGGGGCTACAGAGGATTGAGAGTAAGAGTAAAGAGGAGTGTTTGGGAAAAGGATAAAGAGAAGGACAGGGATCAAGGTCAAGACATAAGAATATGTCGAATGACATTACATCTTTTGAACGCAATTTTATGGCTTCAACTAAATATACAGTGCAATCCGGATATAAGAGACCCGGATATAAGAGAAACCCGGATATAAGAGAGATTTTCTATGGTCCCAAATTAGAGCCTGTGTTAATGTATACATATAGACCAAACCCGGATATAAGAGAAAGCCGGATATAAGAGACTTCTTCTCCGGTCCCGACAACTCTCTTATATCCGGGTTACACTGTATATTATGTATTTTTACATTTTTGTTTTTGTTTGGGGGTACACTAATTGCTCATAGCTGGAATTTTAACATATGCTACCATCTCGGATTAGAGTGGACCTGTGAATTAAAGTTAAGAGGTGGTTCCATGCTCCTCAGTACCTCGAATCTTCCGGTCAGAGGCCTTACTGCCGGATGTAGTTTATCGTCATGCCCAGGACGAATGGTAATTTGAAGGTGACAGAAGCTGGGATGCCAATTCTGGACCTATAACATTGTAGATTCTTCGTTAGATTTTATCAAGAATTTCTAAATAGATAATAGAAGCATCAAATATGGCAGCAATACTCAATGCATGGACGAATTGTAAATGCGCAAGATAAATTCAGGAGAGAAGAGTTGAAAATTTTGACAAGTTCTTACGTTCATTACTATAATATATTCATTTGAGATTTTTGAGAGTTTCTTCCTGAATGGTTTAAACTGAAAATAAATAAAATTGTATCTATTTATTTTCATGTTAGACCTTTAGGCCACAGACCATCTGGTAGAGGATCGCGCTCGTGTAACGCCATTCTGTTGGTATTCATATGTCGGTGTTCCCGGTGATATCAATCACCCGCCAGCAAATCGTGATTTTTGCAGACCAATATCTTTAAAATGTAAAAGAAAGGAATTCTTTCCATTCGTTGAATATGATCATCTGTCGAAAAGGATGGTGAGAAAAGAAGATGGGGCTCTCCAGTATCCGTGCCAGATTTCTTAGTTTTCATTCAACGCTTGTTCTATCCAGCGAAAACAGGCAGAATGCCGGCGTGCTAAAAGTGCACGTCACTGGCTTTGCAAATAAACAAAGTTGTGTAAGAAATAAAAACACAATACATTGATTTTCTCTTTAGTTGCCATAGCAGCGGTAGCAATTCTGTGAAAAGAAAAAACTTGCACCACGTTTCTTACAAAAGTATCACATAGAAATGAACTTCTGAACGCAATGAACTGTATAGTTTCTTATATTAATAATATTTTCTGCTTTCCAAATGAAATAAATATCTGCCAGAACCCTTTTTTATTGTTAGATTACCCACTACAAGACTCAAGGACCACTAAAGTTAGAGGATTACTGGGCAAGATTGCCGTAAGAAGGAATTAAGAAGTGCACATTTTAAATATATGCAGGATAATCACTTTCCCACAACCATAAGGTTGCCTCTCTCTGCCTTTCCTATAAATACTTTCATATTAATTGTTAAGATGATCTCTTCACTATCATACCATGACCTTTTGAATTTAAGTGCAGTACTAGACTGGCATCAAGATCTCATCAATTTACAGTTGAGTTGGTTAGATATAGCTGTAAATTCTATGCTAACAGTTTCTTTTCTCACACTTGTTACTTGTGGAACTCCCTTCCATTTCCATGCTTTGTAACCAACTTTCATCTGCAAATATTTAAATGCAATGTCAATCGCGATATGCTGTCCTCCTGATTAATCTTTTCTCTTCCCGCTCATTATGAATATTTCTGTTCCTAATTCTTCCACACCCAGTAACCTTTTGTGTCTTAGTGGCTTTTCTAGCTTGCATAAAATTGAAAACTGTTGAGGGGTTCTCCCCTTTTTGACACAAATGGACTCACCCAGGGTATACATATATACTGCTACGTGAATACCCAAGGGAAGAGCGAACGAGAAAGAACGAACCAGAACAAACGTAACGAGCAAGAGTCACAGTGAGCATGCGCGTAGACTCAGTAAGAAGACATAGTGATACGTCGATACCAAAGACTGTATATATATATATATTTGCTACTAACCCGCATTCCTGGAACTACTAACCTGCATTACCAGTTTGTATTATTACATTAATACATTTATTTTCCTATATTCCTTCTTGGCGTTTGTTATTCATTGGTACCGGATTTCATCCCGGAATCCACAACAAAAACGATTAAAAGGAAAAAGAAAATGTAAAACAAACAAAATAAATCAATAAAGTTATGAATTTACTTTATTTGAGTAGCATTTTTAACACTATTTTAAACACACATTTTGGGGAAAAATAAAAGCAAATGATTTCCCTGCTGCTTATATGTGTAGCTGAGGCACCCCATAGGTTACTTTTATCAGCAATGCTCACTACCGTAGACTAAGATAAGATATTTCTGTTATTAATTCTTCCATACCCTGTAACCCCTTGCGTCTTAGAGGCTTTATATATATCAATTGACCCTGGACTTGAAGAGACAAAAATTTTAGTTGGAAAGGTTTGTTTTGGTTTGTTTGTTTAACGGCATATCGACTCATTATATGTCATTATATGCCAAAATTTTATTTTCGTGTGAGCTTTGGTAACTTTTTAAGTATTGCTGATAATTTTATTTTATTTTTACTATGTAAATTTATTGCTAGTCATTTTTTGTAATGTATTTTTATATTTTCATGTTTTGATCCCAGATTGGGGGTTCACTATTTGTCCATAGCTGGTACCCTAACAGGTGGTACCACCCTGGGTCAAGGTGAACCTGGGAATAACAGCATTTTCCACGTTCCTCAAACGCTCTCGGTCAGAGCCCTTACTGCCGGATGTAGTTTATCGTCATACCCAGGACAATACTTGTAAAGGGAGCACCCTCTTCGGGAGTTTCTTTCACAAAGTAACAGTTCTGGAGGAGAAGCCCACTGGGTGGAACTTACTCCTTATCAAAGGAACTCGAAGAGAATGAGGACGATTTGTCACTTGAAAGTGGCATGATGTGTCCTAGCTGAGAAGCTCTGAGCTGGTTAAACTGAAGAATGTAAGTCCGCAGAATATCTACCATAGCAATAGCGATAGACTAATGAGAAGTCAGTAACGTTTTAGCCGTGGAATAAGAGTCGCAGGGTTGAGAAGCTTTTATCACCTACTATTGTTCTAGTAGAGATCGATTTATTACTGTAGAAAAAAAGTGTGGTCACTTACCTGATGTTGGAGCGTCGGGATTGGTCAAAGGGCGGAGTGGGAACTGGCCCCACTAGTAGGCGCAGGAGCCACGCCCACATACTCTTTTATAGCCTCCTACCGGCAGAGTCGGACGGGGCAGAAGTAGTTAAAATGTTAGAAAATGCCTAACCTTCCTCACATTTTCCTTCTCGACTGCGGACATCGGTTGGGAATTGTTTGTCACTTAACTACTGTTCTTAGACCAAGTGTGGAAGTGGGCCGCGAAGGCGTCGTTTTCCTTTGCAACATCGGTTCGTCGGCATCTCTCATTTAAGGCCAACCTTCAGATCATTTTTTTTTTTTTGCATAACATATTCATTTTTCCTTTTGAAAAAATCACTTACCTGAAGTTTTGTGACGTCTTAGAGTCTGAGACGTAGAAGTCCTCACAAGAATATGGCGTCGTAAATTTCTCTTTATAATATCCGAAAATTGTGAAAAGATTAAATCTTCCAGTTCTCTACGATACGCCTTCAGAGATATCTTTCTGATGGCTTCACATCATACCGAAGCCAAAATGATACCTGCAATCTTGTTCTCCCGTCCTTCACCTTTATGGTCTTTTCACGTCTTGACCCACGCTTGGACATCAAAACAACGAAGCTCAATTTCCACAAATTCCGGCTCATCCAGCGTTAGAAATCCTATCGGCGACGCCATATTGTCCTGATGTCTTCAAATCTCTGACATAGAATTTGAGCTTAGAATAAGCTGAGCTATGGGTATTTCCTACACAACGGTAAATGGCAAACAAAACCAAAAAGTTAGCTTAAAATCTCAAGTTATGTTCGTAAAGTCTCGTCAAATCGAGACTTTCATATGGATGTCATGTATGGTGCCAAACCCGTTCAGAAATAACTAAAATAGCAGCTGTATAAATCTGCTTTCTACAATAAAATGGCTTTGAGCGAATTAACACTGTAGGTCTTAGCGAGG